CAGACAGTGTTTATGTGTGGTCCCATGTGTATAAAGGAATCAATTTATAAGCACATGTAAGCATAGAAGCATCCAGAGGCATAGATACCAAGGTTTAATCAGTGACTGCCTCTAGGTGATAAGGTGATTGTGTCAGTTCTCCCCCATCCATTTGTTTTTTAATTATCTCTCTATTAAAAAAAACCAATCTGTATTATTTATATAAAAGTCCTTATATTTACTTTTAAAAAGATATATTGACTTAGTCTGAGTCTTCCAAGCCATTACATGACACTCTGACTCTGGCTTCTCTGAATCCACATTGCTTCCTCTGGGGTGTTATGAAAGTCATCCTGGACTGAGAGCAGGGAGATGTGGGTTCCAGGCTCTGAGCTCATCTACTGATGTGCCCAGGATGTGTCCTGAGGCCAATCCCCAGCTCTCCTGGCCTCAGTTGACAGTGGTCAGGCTAGCTGAGCCTTGAGGCTCCTTCCAGCCCTAACACACATGCGCTTGTATCCATTCAGCTTCTCCTGTAGAGACAGCCTGTAACCATTTTTAGTCCACAGGAGAAAGATCTGAGATTATGAAATCATTTTAGTCTACAAAAAAGTATGGATAAACACCTGCCTAACCCATTTTAAGCAATAATAACACGACCCTTATAAACCACTTTGCACAGAGCTTATGAATTCCCTCCCCAGAGACTCTGAGTTTGACTCTAGTTATTCTAATTATTTACATGCCTGCATTTGAGTGGAGCCAAGAATTTGCAACTGGTGAGAAGGGGAAATGCTTCCTCTTGAGATTACTGGGGATTCGGTGTCACCCTGTTCTGTTGTTGATACCAAATGTTTCTCTGACGCAGAAAATGACCCGACAAAATAGTCTGACTTCATTTCAGACCCAACTTTCTTCCCAGCTGTAACCACGGGTGATTGTTGCTCCTGGAGGTAGGTGAGCTGGGCTGGAATCACATATTAGGGTTGCAACTTTACCCTATAAGGGCAGCTCAGTGCAGCAGGACCCGTTATGAGGAGGGCCCTTTTTCTCTGGAAATGAAGAACTTGAGTGCTGTTCAGTATCCTTGTTTCCTGCAAAATGATTCTAAGGCTCCTGAGCTTAGATGGGTGTTTAAGGGTTCTGACTCTGAAGTCGGAAAAACCAAAATTCACATCATTACTCTGCTTCCTGTTACCGTGGAGTTTGGGGGAAAATTCCTTAACCTAGGCCCAGAAATCTCATCTGGGAAATGTGGAAACTTAATAGTCACTTCCTCAGGACATTTGTGAAGATTAAATAAAATCAGTGTGTCAGGAATCTAGTGGGTTCCCCAGCCATAGTAGGTACTCAATAAGTAGAAGCCATTAACGTTACTATGAATTAAAGAAAGTGTTTAATCCCTTTCATGAGGCATGTGCCAGATGTAGTCTCATAGCGTGTGAAGTAGGTAATAGAAGATGAAGGGAGTGGTCAGAAAACAAATATTGTTACAATGCCACACACCTTGCCTGCAGTTTGCAATTGGAGAACATTGGGCAGCATAAATTATGGTGTCTGCAGACGCTTGTAGAAGATACCATGAAAAAGTTAAAAGGATAATGTCACACTGCACGTTTTATGGATTCTTCTCTTTGATGTTTCAACACTTTTTGGTCTGTTTTAGGATGATTCTTTTTTTCAGCTGAACCCCTATTTGGAAAAATCTTATCAGTTAAGTTGGCCCTTATTAACTTGTCCTGTTTCTTACTTAGTTGTTTAAATATTTCTCTCCACTACTGGACTAATTCATTCGTTTAGTAATTCATTCTGAATTACTCCAGACCCTGTGCTAAACCCTTGGTACAGATGCATTTCCTGCTCTCAAGGAACGTACAGTCATATATAGGGAGAAAAGTAAGTGTTCACTTCATTTGCAAATTTTTTCTTTCCTCCAGCCCTTTAAGGAGGACCAACTGCTGAATTCTCCTTTGTGAAATAGGCTCCAAGCATAATGAAACATCAGAGGTGCAGTGGTGGAAGTGGTAGTGAGGGCCTCACGTGGGAGAAGTCAATCCAGGAAGGAGGTGCAGAAAAGACTTCATAGGAAGGGGGGCTGCATGGGTGGCTTAGTTGGTTAAGCGTCTGCCTTCAGGTCATGATCCTGGGGTCCTGGGATAGAGTACTGTATCGGGCTCCTTGCTCAGCGGGCAACCTTCTTCTCCCTTTCCCTCTGCTGCTACCCCTTCTTGTGCTCTCTCTCTGTCAAATAAGTAAGTAAATAAATAAATAAATCTTTTAAAAAAAAAGACTTCATAGGAAGGAAAACTGTTACAAAGGGTTGGAGACATGTCATACTTATATTTGTATTTCTATTCCAAATTCTCTGCTCCCTGTCCTGGCATCTATCATAGTGTTTTAGATGTGCTGTCCACTGGACTTCACTGAGTTCTTCCAGTTCCATAGAGGAGAGTCTGTTCTTTCAGTGGGTGCTGACTTCTCTCTGGGAGTTCCCATGAGATGAGACCCGGAGCTATGGTCCAAAGAGAAAAAAAAAAAAATCCATTAGGACAACTCTGTAAGAACTCAGGAACGGGAGTGAATTTAGAGTTAAACAGCCAGGAGCATGGCGTCCGGGTTTGCCACGTAACAGTGGTGTGAACCTGAATGAGTGACATCACTTCTTTGATTTTAAGTTTATGCATCTTTAAAATGAAAGTATTGATGCCAATGCCACCATGGGATAAAGTTTATAAAATCAGTTGGCAAAGTTAGTGGAATTTAGAAGACTCTCATTTAAATTTTAGTTTCTTTCCATCGATTAGAAGGCAGCCCACAATATTTTGACGAACACTTCTCTCCGCCCCTCCACCTGGCTGATTTGCAGAGGAAGATCAATTTCAGATGGTATCATTTAGAAAATCAGACATTTAAGCCTTGATTAAATGACCCCTTGCTTGGTCAGAGTTCAATATCAAGACCCCTTAATGACTGTTGCTTTGATCAGCTGGGATTTTACTTGATCTAAATGTTAGATCCCTAGGACAGCTTTTAGGATTGCTTTCAGCAAAATACGCCACTTAATTACCTAATAATGGGCACACCTTTTATCCAAGTGTGATGATAAGTCAGCTTAAGTGTAGAACAGGGAGTCATCTAAAGTCTCAGAAACTTTGAATCTATATCAACAGTGAGTTCTCTGCAGTCCTGTTGGTCTATCGGTAGAGATCCAAATAAGGTAGAAGAAGAGGGGGAATGGTGACACAGCATTCTCCAGGAATGAGTTAGTATCAGGAGCAAAGTGCACTTTGAAGGTGAGAAGGGCAGGGTGGGAAAGGTGTGTTACAGAAGCGGCTAATCCAGCCTTTCTCAGACTCAGATGAGAAAACTCCGGACTGTATTAACTTACTAGGCTTCTTTGCAAGGAGTTAATTTGATAGCTCTAATGCTATATACACCTCGAAATCATTATTTGTTGTGTTTGAAATGGGAAATTGAAATTTGATGAAGTCATTTAGACCAGCCCAGATCTCATGCAAAGCAATTGGTTCAGAGCTATTAGCACAGCAGATTTCTCGGTCCAGTGAGAGTTTGATATAGGAGGGGAATCTCTTTGTGATTCCTTCCATTTCAAGCTCCAGACAAACTGCCCTTTCTGGGTCTTTAACTTGTTTCTCTGATTACTTTGTAAGTGTCTCTCAGGAAAGTTTTTCCTCAATTTGCTGCTCACTGGTCTAAGCCTTTGCTTCCATCCCTCTCTCCTTGCTCCTTTCTTTCTTTCTTTCTTTCTTTCTTTCTTTCTTTCTTTCTTTCTTTCTTTCTTTCTTTCTTTCTTTCTTTCTTTCTTTCTTCCTTCCTTCCTTCCTTCCTTCCTTCCTTCCTTCCTTCCTTCCTTCCCTCCCTCCCTCCCTCCCTCCTTCCCTCCCTCTCTCTCTCTCTTTCTTTCTTTCTTAAATACACCATCTTTGAGAAACTGCATCAGATGGAGATCTCCTAAATTTACTGTTCTCCACTCCTCACTTTTTTTCTTGGCTGTCTACTCATATTTCTCCCTTATACTTTTGCAGTAATATTTCATATATTCACTCTTTTCCTCTAAATGGTTGCCAAAATATGCAGCTGCTTCCTCCCAAATATCATGAAGATCCGCCCTCTTATCTATCAAAAGGGGAAAAAAGACTTCATTTCCAAACCCCAAATTCCAGTTAACCATATAAGAAATGAAGAGTCTCTAGACAACTACTATTTGGTCAACTGGTTTTTTTCCACTTGATTTTACAGTCCCGACATCACTTGGTTGGGTCAGCCTCGGCCCAGGCAGCTACAAACATCATTTCCATTGCTTCCATTCCACTATTCACTCAGGTGCCCTGTCCAGGCAAGCTGTAGGAGCACAGCTAGACATTGCACACTGCACACCAATAGCCTTTTCCCTCTTTGCCAGGGTCACTGGGGCGGTGAGGACCTATAGAGGAAACATCCTCTCCCTCTATTCTTACTCTTCCTGGCCAATAAGAGGAAGTTTGAGGTAAGAGGAAGAAGTGCTTTTGTTTTTTTATTTTTCTGGACCACTCCCATAAAAGAAGGGGTGGTATCGATCTGTTTGGTGTGATGGTGAGTGTGGGCATCTAGCCGTCTATTGTTGGGTGGAGTGAACGTGTGAAAGGTTGCAGGCATTTGTGGCCTCCTTCCTTTGTCTCTGTTAATAGGACCCTCTGCATTCAAAAGGGATGAGGCAAGCCGGGATCTTCTAGTACCTAGTGGGGCAAGTGTCTGTTCTGTAGGTCTGAAGTCTTTGAGTGTGTGAAGGGTGAGGGAGGAGTATCCTGAAGCCTACACTGGCCTCAAGTTCAAGCTTTGCTCTTCAATATAGTTTTATTAGTACTAATCAGATATTTTAAAACCCCTTTATCTATAATTGGATTTGAGCTCAAAGAAGACAAGGGTAATGATTATTATCTTAAACTCCAATAAGACCAGGTTTTCTATTTCATTTCCTGATTATTAAAATTATATGTACCTAAAACAATAATTATCTATATTTCCACAACTCGTTGCTTTTTCCTTAGGTAGTCTCATGTCAATCCTAAAAATTAAAAAACATCTCATGCCCAATACAATTCTAGCAGCAGTTCCATGAGAGGGATGGGGTCTCATGGAGTTAATCAAAGTTCTAGAGATGAGGAAACAGACACAGGGAGGCAAGATGAAATGTTTGAGGTGAGACCACTTCCATGGATAGTAGAGGAGCCACTGATAACCTTATCTCATTCCTAATGTAGGAGGCCAGCCTATCTCTCTTGCTTTGTGTTCTGCTCTACTAAGCACAGTGGACTCTCAGTCAATATTATCCCAAGATACATTGAGAGTTTTTTTATTTAGTTTGGGAAAATATGAATTGAGTAATTCTACAACTCAAGAAGAGAGGAGTTAAGAAAAGACATGGTAGGGCTCTTGAAGAGAATAGAGCTCCATCATCATAGCCTAAATATAAGTAGATAGGTAGATAGGTAGGTAGCTACATACATATATACATATACAATCTTTTGACTTTTCTGACTATTTCTTTAAATTAGGCTACTTTCTCCCTGGTCTTATTTTCTTTTCCAGCATTCCATTCATGTGCTTTTGCCTGCCACTGAGTCTCCCTTAGTTCGTGTTTTATCTGGCTTATTTGGATACCTATTCACATCTCACTAGCTAACCTTACACCTCAGGCAAATAATTTTATGTTTCTGAAATCTATATTGACACCATTAAATGAAACCTCTAGATTCTCTCTAGCTTGAACCGAGAGCAGAGTAAAGTAACTCATTTGGGAAGGAGCTGAGGCCCAGATGCTCTGGCTAGTGAATGTGGTTATACTCATTCCATTAACTATTGCTTCTACCAATTTACAATGGGGTTAAGCAGTCTTCTGGAAAAATATTAAAACACTTCCCCAAGTTTTAATTTTGGAGGTTCCCTCATATAAAGCATGTCTAATAAACTGGGGGTCTCTGACTAAGGCCCTATCATAGAAAAGGCCATTAAGGACCTCCAAGGGAACTCACCATAAGTGAAAAAAATGTGAAGCACACAAAAACTCTAAATATTAAAGGAGGGTCATATTTCCATCAACTGTTTGGTGAGTGGTAAGAAAGTTCATTTGAACTAGTCATCGTTGGCATAAGTTGTATGATCTGGGAGAAAATAACATATGGGAATGGAAGAAGCTTTATCACTATGCTATAATGCTTTAGGATTCACACAGTCTAGCTCTGGGACCTCCTCTTCTTTCAGTTAAAAACAAAAGTGATGTGTTCCTTTTCATGTTCTTAAAATCAGTAATGTGGATCTCTGATTTTAAGAATGGTGGTATTATAGGGGCGCCTGGGTGGCTCAGTCGTTAAGCGTCTGCCTTCTGCTCAGGTCGTGATCCCGGGGTCCTGGGATCGAGCCCTGTGTTGGGCTCCCTGCTCCGCGGGGCGGGAAGCCTGCTTCTCCCTCTCCCACTCCCCATGCTTGGGTTCCTTCCCTCACTTTGTCTCTCTCTGTCAAATAAATAAATAAAATCTTTAAAAAAAAAAAAAGAATGGTGGTATTATATCAGCTCTGCTGCATTCTTATCCCATCAACCTCAGGGCATTGAGGAGTTCCAGCTCCAGGGACATGGTGGCACAGCAGACATGGCCTCTGAAGCAGAGTTGTAGCTTGACGTGAAACCACTGTGAAACTGCTGGGGCCTGAGTCCTCGAACTTGTCGCCATAGTGACAATGATCAAGACGATTAATGAGTGCATGTAAGTATTCTGGAGGGCATTCTAGGAATTTCTTGAAGAAAGGGACTAAGACCGGCTTTCCTGTGGTCAAAAAATAAGGTAAGCATTAACGTTGATTAGAGAATCTCCAGTAGATCCATTCATTGCCCTTCCTTTGCTCAGCTCTGTATGACATGTGGTCTCCTGCAAGCTGCATTTCTCAGGCATCATCATCTGTTTCTGGGGGCTTTGGTCAATGAGAGGCACTGGAAGGAGACTGGAGGGTGGAAATCAGGGAGAAACCAGGGTATTTCTCCCTCTCCCTCTGTTCTTTAGATGGCATCTCTGGCAGTGATTATGTATCTTTGATGGCTTCAGTTGCCATCCAAAAGGCCTGTCAAGGTTTCAGTTTCCACAGGGTGATCCTTAGCCTTCTTCTCTTTTTCCCTCCACTCTAGGGGTAGAAGCAGTTTCTTATTATTACCAATCTCTGGCTTATCTCAATGTCCTCTGGTTGACTTCTTAGCCTTTTTTATTGAGTGATAGAATATAATCAATTCTCTGCATTAAATTTCTCTTTATTAAATAATCAGAGTGTTTTCTGCTTCCTGATTAGATCTACTAATACACCAATGAAGCCTGAGAAACCTAATGTTTTAGTCAGCTATTGCCACAGTCATGCTGCATAACAAACTCCAAAACTCAAAGGCTTAACATAACACATTTTCTTCTTATATTGATGGATCTGTAGATTGAATGTTACTTAGCCAGGTAAGGCTGGACTCCAGGCTTCCAGCTGAGTTCAAGTTTGTCCCATGTATCTCTCCTCTTTCTTGGAGCAGTGGTTATCCAGAACATATGGTATGATCCCTGTATCTTCTTCTGGAACTGAGGTTGAAAGGGCAGCAACTGCACTGGGAACATGTTAATCTCACAGTAGATCATCAAAGGACAGAAGCTCAGTTGTGCAAGCTCATTTCTGCCCTGGTCACATTACTTAATGTCTCATTGATTAAAGCAAGTCACATGTCAGAGCACAAAATCAAGAGCCAGAAGAGTATATTCTGCCCACCATAAAGCCAGGCAGGGGTGTGGTTATATGATTCTATTATGGGGGAGGAAGCAATTGGAACCAGTAATCAAATCTACCACATTTGGCTGAAAGTAAGATTCATCATCTCTAAGAAAATTGAGCAGTATCATCATTTACTATAGCTTGTGCAAGTGATGGCTAACTCATGTTTTATTTTTTTCTGTTTCTGGACACTGATGTTGATTTGTAATTCAGAAGTTATACTCCATTATATTTTTACCAAGGACCGTCTCTTTATAAAAAAAATAGAAAAATGTCATTTATTATCTCTCAAATTAAACTCACCATTCTGTCTGCTTCTTTCTGCGGCTGAGGCTGGGACTCAGCAGGCCACATCTCTGCTTTGCCAACTGATTCCATGCTTGGCTTTGCCAGCAGGGGGTGCTGCAGGGGACTGCCAGGTTAGAGCAGGAAGTAGGGACTTTCTCCTTTTTGTTTGCTTCCTGTGGGCTTCCTTTCAGCTCTCTCTCCAGTGAATATAACCCAGCAAAAGTCTTTAAACTCAGCAACAGCAGTTCATTCCAGTGGCTGCAGTTAGATCCACTTTCCAGTGTTCCCAACACTCCTAGCACTAGCGGAGTGGCACGCCCACCTCGGAAGAATCCTTCCTCCAAGTGCTTATGTTTTTAGTAATTCCAACCTCTTTCCTTTGCTGTTTCTCTTTAAGGAGTGAGAGCTACTTCCAGCGGTTTACTTCATCTCACCTTAGCGTTCTCTTTTTCAGTTAGCAATTCTTTTTATCTAATTAATAATTGTTAATATCAAATTCCTTCTTTTAAAATAACAGGCGAAATTGCTGTCTCCCACCAGGAGATACTTTTTCATAGACTCTATGCTTTTACCTAATAAGATTCTGCTTCATCTTTAGGGAAGACACCTATTGCCAAAAAAAAAAAAAAAAAAAGAAGGAGGAGAAGGAGAGGGAGAAATAATGTAGGAGGGAAGAACAGTCCATGGTTGGGGGCCAGGCTGTCAGAACTCAGCTGGGTTTTATTGCAGTTCTCCAGGGATACAGATTCCTTTGCGTTAGAAAGCTGAAGACGGTTTAGATGACCAAGGAGACTGGAAAGTAGTGTGGGCAAGAGAGCAAAGGGGTAACAGCCTTCCCTTCAACATAATAGAATAGCTTTTAATTTCTTCTTTGAGACCTCAAAATTATGAAGTAAGTAGATTTTCTGCAAAGTGGGCTTATTATGACTATCAAGTTCCAAACAACTGTGTATCCAGTAGTTGCATTCTAAATAGGGTGAGGCATGGCCCATCCTGTACTTTAGGGATTTCATGGTGGCTTCATCATGTAGGCATGATCCACTGTTAACTCAATCTCTAGCCCCCTTTTCCTCTCCTGAGGATGGCAGGTGGGGCTGAAAGTTCCAAGCTTCTTTTCATGACTGGTCCTTCTGGTGACCAGCACCCATCCAGGAGCCCACTAAGAGTTACTTTATTAGAAATAAAGATGCCCCTATCACCCAGAAAATTCTAAGGGATTTGAGAGCCCTGTGTAAGATGCCTCTATCAGCCCCATTACTCAGGAAATTACTAGGGTCTTAAAATCTGTGTCAGAAACCAGGATCAAAGACCAAATATTAGCAGGAAATGGGAGAAGAAACCAATATATTCTTATTATTTCACACCCACTCTCACTATAGACCTTTATATATGTTATTCCCTCTACCTCAAATGATGTTCCCACTCTTAATCTTAAATCCTTTCCTCCTGGCTAATTCCTCCTTGTCTTCCTTCACAGCTCTCCTTAGACTAGGATAGATGCCCCAGTTGTGTCCTGCTATATTGGCATATTCTTATTTGTTTTATAGCACTCATCACAAAATACTGAAATGACTACTTTCCACATCTATCTTCACTATTAAAATGTAAACTTGGGGAGAGTGTGTGTTTTCTTCTACTGTGCCTCTTGTTCTTAGCACAATGACTGACACATCGTAGGCATTCCAGAAATGTTTAATGGAGGGACTAACAATGTGCTGGGTTTATAGGGGGTGGTAGTGACAGTCAATCACACATAGATTTGTGACTTATCTATCATACTTTGCATTCTGTGTATCTAGATCAGTGCTCCCTGGTGAATTTGATAGCATTTGCTAAGGGACTACACTTTGAGAAGCAAAGCTATGGAAAATGTATCCAAAATGGAGCCCTGTGGCTAGGGCCCTGAGTAGGAAAGAAGTAAATCAGGCTTACATGTCTCCATTCTACCGGACCTGCCTGCTTTTCTCCTCATCCTTTACATCCTGGGCTTTTCATCTTTCCTTAGCCAAAATCTATTTCTTGGAAAGCATACATATTCCTGAGTTCAGGGGCAGAAAAGTGTAAACTACCATGTGACTTGTTTAATATTGTTTACATTTTTAAACAAGGACCAAAGCCTCTGTTTATTTTGAAATGAGGGAATGGAACTCTTATTGTGTGATGTCAGGTTTAAGAAGCTAGTGAGGGAACAGGAGACCACACTTGTAGGCGACCACAGCCTTGACTCACTTAGGAAGTGCAGCCCCAAGAACGGCGCCTGGGACAGGGTGGGTGCACAGACATGTTTGTTGAATCAATAAAGTCATTCCAGTCTAGCATATCCTTCAGTGAAAAGAAAAAAAGTATACAAATTTTGTGTGCACAGACTATCTGTGCCATTGTGGGCCTTCTGGAGTTGTCCCTGAGACTCATTTAAACACACACACACACACACACACACACATCCTACCTACAGAGTGCTTGCTCACGCTCCATGAGAAAAACTGAAAATAAAATATTGTTAAAATAGATGTTGCTCTGGCTGAAAATTTGCACATTTGTTAAATGATTCACTCTATTAGGTGGGCAGAAACAGGCACAAAAAACTCACTTGGGAAGAACCATCAACTATGGGATGCTTGGACTTAAAAGTAGGGAGAAGCATGAATTTCTGTGCCCAATTCTTTGCATCTCCCCACCATTAAGAAAGATTTTATCATTTCAGAATGTAGAGGTTGACAGTCTCTGATTTTTGGAAACTTCTCTTGAAGCTCTTGGTACTTCCAAAAATGGGTGGTCGGTAACACTCTGTAGAAAAGACCTCCATTGTGGAGGGTAAGAGTTGTCATAGGCATTATAGAGAACAGAAAGGAGAACATGCTGTGTTCCTGAGCATTCATTATTTCACTGAGGACACTGTCATTCCTTATGGTTACCCTGATGAGCACCAAGCAATGCTGATGGATTCGTAAGGCTCAGACCCTGACTCTAGTACTCCATCAAGGTTAGATATGCTCTACTCTGCTGCCTTTTTGGTGGTTTTGTGTTTGCTTCGCTCTTTTCCTGTCTTTTATACATGCCTCCATGTGACACTTATTGATATCACCGTTGCTGAGTTTGGGCATGCTTCCAAAGAAGCTTGGATTTGCTCTTACTTTTCCATCCAATAAATTCATCTGTTAAGTATTGGGAGAAGAATTCTGGAAACTCTATCACTAGTTGGCAGCTATCACATTTCTTAGGAGAAGAAAAATCTTCAATCTAGTTGGAATCATATTTCTTGTGCTGGAATGGATTTAAGACAAAAAATATATTGCACTTTTGGGCATGGACCTTGATTTTTCAACATATATCTTCCATGTGTTAGGAACTGATGATGCACATTTTTCCCCCCTTGGGGATCTTCTTTTCCTTAAGGCATTAAATTGCCTGCTCAGATGTATAAAGTGTCCACTACCTTGAATGAATGTGCTAATTAACAATGCCAAAATTTATGAACATACACTGAGAAGAAAGAGGAGATTAAAATCCTGTTTTATTTAGGTATTTTATGTTTACAAAAAGGAAAACAAATTAAGGTGAAGCGATTTCCTTTGTCTAGCTGACAATTTAGAAACAAAAGGCAGTCATGAATTGTGTGGAAGGAGGAGAGCAAAAGCTGTCTTTTTTTATGCCTCTCTAACAGATACTTCACACCAGT